GCCTGTAACAAAAGTTCTCAACATTGGCTTTAGTCATTCTGTTGAGGTTATGTGGTACTGTCATGTCGTCTAGGTTCCAGATCTATTTGTATGTTGTTTATTCAATTCTAAATCATACTTACAAGAACCCCTCACTTTATAAGTTAGCTGCAACTTACACCAGAAGAAATATTGACCAGTTCACTGGTGAATCATGCAAGTACATAACTAAATACCATGAATTATAAATTTATTTAAAATATTGCTTTTCTTCATTTATTGTGTATTACAGCTGAATTTGTTGTGAACTTCATGTTTAAGCTAGTTTTCAGATATAGCACTTGGACTTAGGTTTCAATACTATAGGCAGTTTTGTACTTTGTTGGAAGTGACTGGATTCATATTGTTTTAGTAATACCTCTCTCTATATTTTCATGTTTGTCTAACTGGATTGCGTTGACATTTTATATGTCCCATACTCTTCCACAGACATTTTATTTGCTATATATTGTTTTTATTTACTTTCTTCCTTTTCTAATTGTGCTAATTATCTGATTTCTTTGGTACTGTTCACAGTTATGTACATATGTTCTGGACTTTTTTGTAGGAATTTACCTTTGTTTCTTTGTTATTTTTTTCCTCTCTTTCCATCATAGTTTGAAGTGGTAAGACTATGATTCTAGAATTGTGGTTTGTAACAGTAAGATTTTCTAGGCACATTTTAAAATACTTATCATGTGATATGAATTCCATTGCAAATACTAATTATAAGATTGTTTTAGGAACAGTTATTCTGTGCAGAGAGTTTTAATCTTCACATTCACTCACTCATTCATTCAGAACTCACATTTATAAATATGCTGATTATAACTGAATCTAAAAAGTGGAATGGCATTGATCTGAATGGAATACATGCTTTGAAGACAAGCTATAAAGCAGTTCTTCCACCATTATAATATTTTATCGTGTGTGTATATATGTGTGTCAACCCTTGGTATCCATTTTTAATTGCTTTCAGAAAAATTTCACTATTAAGGGAACACCAAATACAGAGTAATGTATTCAGATATTAAAATTATAATTAATTCCAGGGAAGTCATTAACTTGAACGCTAAATTAATTTTTTGTGCACAGAAATGCTAACAAAGACTAGCCTTGGCACTGTCAAAAATCCTTTAAACTGTCTGCCTCATGAAAGTGGAATATATTCCCTTTCAAGAAATTAGAAGGGAATTGGTTTGAGAACCTCGTACTTGGAGTGTTTCTGGTACACACATGAGCAGCTGAGAAACTACCAGCTGCTGAGTGACAGGAAATGACACAGTGACACATGAGTCAGTGGATGTAAGAACCAATGACAGATTTGGAAAAAATGGTATTAAATAGAGGGTGATGGGTATAAGAAATGACAGACTGGGAGGTCAGTGGATATCAGGAGTAGTCCGCTGTGTGCGTGTGTTTGTAACATCTTTAGATGTGCTATTACAGTAAGTTTCTGTTGGAAATTGTCTCACAGTATAACAGATACCCCAAGGGATTGCTTGTTCATTTACTTGTTTTTGTTTAAAACATTATTTTATTATTATAATATTTTAAAGAAGCAGAGACATGCAGAATGGGTGTGTGAGTAATATGAAATAGTGACAAGGACTGCTGATTCTCCACTGTGAGATATTTGCTGCAGTTCTTTCATTAACAATATTGAGATATTTCTGTCATAAATAAATAGAGAAAGTATAATTTAGGGAATACATTTTTTCTTTACCCCCTGCTGGGCATACTAGTAGACATTTCTGGAATTTATTTTGAGTTTGCAGACTCATGTCCCATACATTATGTAGATGTTTGTGTTTGACATTCTTGTTGGGTTCATTATCATTGGTTCAGAGAATTTCTGTCAATTACCAACACTAAGAAGTAGTGAGACTAAAGAAGCACATTGTGAAGTTGTGAAATTAAAATACTTTCTGGAACATGTCAATTTCTTTTAACCTTAATTGGTCAGTTACTGTTTAGTTAGAAATATCTTTGCAGGAGGCTGACATAAGTGTTTGTGGTCTGTCAATTTATCCATGATATAATGGTATCTCAAAAACATTCAAACAATTTCTTTAGATTGAAGATCAATTGCTTGTTAATGCAGATTGACAATTTACTTTGGATTTTTGCTTGATTAGGACAAACCTTAAAAATAATTGTAATTTTAAAGAAAATTATTACAGTTATATGTTCTTTGAAAAAATAATTTTTATATCAACTAGTAATCTTAGATGAGTATCGGAAGTTTTCAAGAATTACCTGTGGATATTGAAGACAGTACAAGAGAGAGAACACAGCAGCACACTTCACAGAGTGAACATGAAAGTGTTATTTGTTTATTCACAGCAACTGATGCACGCCATTGCAATGGTCCACAAGATGCAGAGATTAGCTTTGAATAATTCTAGTAGCATGGATGTTGATGAAGCACACATGTGTACAACTATTGACGAGGAGGAGGAGGAAGAGGTAGAGGAAGGTATTTGGATTCTGACCGAAATGACATGGTTCAAGTTGTTTATTAGATGTTTTGGCTGACTTGCAGCTGGCTCGCTTGCTCGATCATCGGCTCGCTCACTCGATTGTACTGTGAAATTCAACCAGTCTTATATCTATGTTGCATAGGATTGATTGTATTTCAGTGTTTTAACAATATCTTAAATGTTGCTCCTGTAATCAATATATTTATGTGTAAATTAATTTGATCATGCTCTTTGTCCACACCATTGCTTCCTGATAGGAAATTCAGCAATCTGTGTCCCCATTACTTTTTTGTGATACTGTCAATGATATAAAGTACAGATTGGAAGCATTTGAGGGTTCTTCATACCAGCATATGTTTCCAATTACAGCATCAAATCAACACCAAGAAGGAGGAAAAGAATCTGAATGATTTTGAGGGAATAATATGAAGGCCTGATATAAGTTTCATCCCTTGCATTCATGTGAAATCAGTTAAATGGAAATTATAATATCTTAATTTTTTATGCAGTCTGTAGTATATTTGTGTTTATCCAGTAATAAATGCTGAAATAAGTTTTGTTTCCTCCTGTTTCTTAAAACTTGTAATTTCTTGTTTAATTTTTATTGATACTGAGTTTCTTTCCTGTTGTCATTCTTCAGTAGATCAGAAACCTGAAAAAAGAAAGTCTGTCCGTACTGAGGGTAGGAGTTGCATATCACTTCCATCTTCTTACATCAGAATTAATGTGTCACGTGTTGTGTGATTCTCAGTTTCATTCCAAAGACATTTCTTCTATACGAAACTTTCGATTTGAGAATATTTTGTGTTCTTCCTTTTTTGTATTAATTTTAGATTACTGATTTTCTTCTGAAAATTCACCAAATATTCAGAAATGTCAGTAATATAATTTTTGTATACTTGAGGAAATTGGCCAAAGTAATTATATGAATCCATATTTTGATAGCATGATCAAGTACTTCTGCCCCCAGTTTTTCTATTTACTAACTGCTTCTGAACTTATTTATAAATTATTTCTTATGTGGCTAACAGTCTTGCTGTTTGGCTTGTGGGAATTAGTTGAAATGTCTGAAAACAAACTTTAGTGGATTAAAATATTTGGATGTTAAAATTAATTTCCTTTACAATGTACACTGGTGAAAATGTGCAACAGATCTTGCAAATTACACTTTAGTATAAACACTATACTGTTAACTTTTAATGAAATTTGTTGCTTGTTAGTGTCTCAGAAAATAAGGAGCCATCATATAATTGAGATATGACACACAATACCTTTGATGATGTATAAGAAATTTTCTTCTGCAGTAAAGCTTGTAGTGCCTGAAATAACTGCAACCAGCTTTGTTTCTTGTGTCTTGAATATAATTTATTTTCTCCCTCCCTGACTGATTGCATGCATTACTTTTCTTCTGCCTTTTGTTCTGAGGCATCTACTTTACCACTTCAAATGTTATATTATTATTCTCAGTGTTGGCATATAAAATTTAACTCTTTTGTCTTCATTCTTATGTGTGATGAAGTAATGGTACAGACAGATGAATAATCCTGAAGAAATACGCAGGTCGTCTGTGTTCAGGGTAGTGTCAGGGGCTTGTAACTCAGTTTAAAAAATTGATTTATTTCAGACCGCAGTGAATTATATTTTGGTTCATGTATTATTTTAATTTATATATTTTTAACTTTCTATCTCCATACTAAAATTTGTAACTTGTTCCACTCTCTATGAAATGGGACTAAGTCTTTTCAGAATGGCTCAAGCTGAAAGGGTGTTTCTAAAACCTTCACTCTAGGATGCTTCACTTTGCCAGGAACTGTCAATTATTCACCAACACTTAAACAAACTCTGACAATCACTGGGGCTCAAGAGATACGAGATCCCTAAACGATCAATTCATGAGGACTCGTTATCCTCACATTTGTTGGTAGTTTCCAGTCACTTTTAAGGTTTTCAAAATTAGTTTGTAAGTTGTTTTAATTTTTAATTGTGTTCCCTTTGAAGTGGTTGAGATGGCCACTTTTTTAATTAAAATATCCACAATTAGAATCATTGTCTACTTAAGAAGTAACCCAGTTAATGTTGTACATAAGTTTTAAGCTACTGCAGATGCATTTCTCAGTAATTATTCATTGTTGTTATTAATTAGGTTATTTATTTAGTAATTGAGTATAAAAATTTGTCAGTACTGCCACCATCTAGTCACAATTGTATCCTATCATAACTCAAGAGTTCAAAATATGCCCATTAGCTGTAGAAAACCTAAGTGCATTCTCCCAAGTGTGGCGTGAAGTGATGCAGCTTTCTGGAGGATTACAGTGTGATGAAAAGTCTCACTGAGAATTAAGGGTGAAAGACATGAGAATTTTATTAGCAATTATAAACGTCTTTTCCAAATATGAAAGTTTAAAACTTGCAGCTCCCTCAAAATAAGAAGGCAGGAGAATCATTCAGTGCAGGATTAACACTGATTACATGATGGGAACTGTCAGATTTTCTGTTGTATTTCTGCTGCAGTCAGAAATTGAAACTAAGTCTCTCATTATGGACTAAATGTAACGTACAGACTAAAGCACAGGAATAAGAATACAGGTTTGAAACTGAGTATTACAATATTATTTGGTGATAGGTTTCTTAGTCAGGCTTGCAGGCAAGGGATGGACCTTCACAATGAATTTGTCTAGTTTACTTATACTTGGGTGAAGAATTGATGCTTTGTAAGATTAGATAAAGATTTACTATGACATTTACATGTTTTCTTGCCCATATTTAATTGTCTCCATTTGTTTTATATTCTGTTAATTATAATTGCCACTATAGAACTGCCATACAGAATGTCTGAAAATGATTAAGATGATAACAGTTTTTATATTTAATGAACCAGAGCAGTTACAACAGTGAAATATCTTGAGATGTGCACAGACACTTCAACTTTATATATGTTCAATGTGTGCCGCAAGTCACATGACTTTGAATGAAAGCTGCTCTGTTGCGATCAACTGTCTGTTCACATGTTGGTGGCCAGCCAGAGCTCTTACTTTGTCAGATACAGCCGTTCATCACAAATTTTTATCATCTCTGATTTACTTCTTCAAAGGTGGTGTCTCACCAAATTTTGTTTGGAACTACACTGAGCTATAGTCTCACATTTTGATTTGTGAAACCAAAGAACACATTCAGTTTCGTGTTGTTGCAACACTGTTTTACATGTAAGGCTATAAAAGCACTGCTACAGCCAGAAAGTGAATGGCAGTAAACTTGAAGTGTTTCTATATATTTTTTAAGTTATTTCATTTCTGTAACTGTTTTGATTCATTTAAATATAGCAAATCATAATCATTTTTATCATTCAAAGACATGCTGTGTGATTTATGTGGAATGCTGTAGCTTGAATTTCTTTTTGTATCTTCATTACTTGTTAACTAATTCATTACTGTAATATTATGGCTGAAGTGGAGTATCTGTTCGACTAATGCATGTCTTCTTAAAATGTTCGAGAGATCTTTGATAATTGGAATAGGCACTTAGGGCCCAAGTAGGATGTCAGTTTGAACTACCATATTTTCATAATTATTTTATTATACAGACAGGTGGCTTTCACATGTGATTTAAAAATTTCACATTGTTCATATGCAGTTTATACTCACAAATGAACATATTGTAAATCTTGCAGCACGGAATAACAGTGATATCTGAAACGAAACATGGTTGTACACAAGCCTTGAATATGTTCTTAAAATGTTTAACAGTTCAGTTGTGAAAACTTCAGTGTTCTGTGTTACCAAGTAAGTAATATTAATTTTAAAACCCATGCAGGTCATTGGACATTTCGGTTTTGTTAAATTTCAGTTACATTTCAATATTATCTAATATTTCATACGAAGTTCAGTCATAAGTTTTATAACTATAAAATAACTATGATTATGTTTTAATTATCATGTTTCCATTTGTGTTTTGAAGTGATTCATGTTGACATCTAATGATATGTCAGCTTTATTAAAAGTGCTGCAGATTTAAATCATCATAGGTTAGTGGTTAGAATTTAGTCGTAGTTGCGAGTATGTGTGCTGCATGAGATACACAAGCTGTGTATACTCAATCACATATATGTGGGATTCATCATGCGTCTTTCATAAAAGTGAATCTTTACTTAGAAAAATTATAAACAAATGCAGGATGAGGGGTGTGTGTTCTCTTATTCATGATGAGATTATAAGTTCTCATGATGACGAATATGATGATGGCTGTCTTCTGGGAAGTTACGCCATGTAGTTTGCTAGATACTCACTGAAGTTTTGAGGATCTTATTGCTTACATCATCAGGGTGATTCATCACCCTTATGAATGATGGAGTTAGTAAACTCATCTGAAACGTGTGTCGGTATATACCAGACAACATGGTACAAAATCCAAGAAGACAGCCATTTTTCTGTACAGTTTATATTTTATTAAAAGGAACATGCTTGTAGTTGTTCCATGTCTGTCTACTGCTTCTCTATAACCAGTTTCCTTACTGCCCACAGTTTACTAAAGTTGGAAATATTGTGAATATTCTGAATAAACTCAGAAAGAAATCACATTCTTGGGTCTAACTTCATTGAGTAAAGTTCTTGGGAATGTGAGTTGCTCAGCTTGTCAGGAAATTTCACACCTTTTGGTTGCATATCATTGTTTCATAACAACATGTTGCCCCACTTCATCTCTAAAGACAGAAGCAACATGCTTATCTGAGATGTTGGTGTACAATAAGAAAACTTCTCGGCATAACACCCAGAAGATTGCTATCTGAAATACCTTAACACAAATTGCCATTCATCATTTCAGGAACCTATATTAAATGGCACTGGTATCACTGCCAACTCACACATTTGTGCATCTGAAATATTGGGATTACTTATTTTAGGTATTAAGAAGTTTAAAGTTAGGGGTCCCTCCAAAGTCATAATGTTAATACTATTTTTTTTGAATATGTAATCACTTGGTACAAAATATGAAGGGACAC